AATAGAGTGAGCTTCGAAAAGCTCAGTAATACAGAACTATCAGGTGATGCTATAGGACATGCAGATAAATGGAAAGCCATATAGTTTCCTTATTGAATCAGACGTATACAAATTTTCGAGATAATCTGAGGTTCCACTGGTAGTTCATCGAATAGAAACCATAAAGATCTTAGGTCCTAGGAAGCATTCATAGTATGACATTTTCAAGAGATCGAATAGGATGTCTAGTGTGTTCCAACAGTACGATAAAATCATAATAGGTACACTAATCAAATGATAGTTCAGAAAATCTCATAAATCATACTGTAGTGTAGTTTTTTTTAAACTCATAGTTCAAAACTATCGTATAAAGAATTAACATAAGGGAACATCTTAGGGCCTGAGAGCCTATCCAAGAAGGTTTCGGGGCCATGGGGCCTACCTAAGAACACATCTTAGGGCCGCAGGGCCTACCCGAGAATGATCTCAGGGCCGCAGAGCCTACCTAAGAGTCCCATTAGGTCCATAAAAATTTTCCAGCTTGATCAGAGCTGTACTTTACAAATCTGTATCTCCAATATATAGTATATACAATGATACAAATCCATAAGCCATAATCGTTAAGTCGATGCATCCATAAAACAATAACTATAGATTTCAGTGTACCACATGTTAAAACAATAAAACAATTTTTCAAAATATAAGGAACACACTAGAGAATCCAAATATTTTTCATATGTATTTTGTAGTTATCAGTATGGATAACATGAACTTGTGCAATTTGATCGGATTCCAGGAATAAGATCTTATTGAAGAGAATCGATTTCTAACCGATCTAATCAGACATTTCAGATTGATACTTTAGAATTCCACTAAGTTTCCATGTGCATCAGGAAAACGTTGAGGAACATTTATACATAATAATTCTAAATTCAGATTTACTGCGAGTGATTCCATTACCCAAACAATCAAGGGTATTCAGGAATATACTTTGAATTCATAAGATTTCAGCCCAATTGAACCAAATGAGGTATTCAGAATCTTTTCCTTCTGCGTTACTTGCGTTTTCAAACATGACCGAAGTGATTTTAGATGAAAATATAGAATCGAAGATTCAAGTCATTTACAATCTATGACTATCGATCGTATTATCAAACAACTCGAGTTACACAACTCCCAAACTGATGCATATCAACAAATCAATTCATTGTCCTTCCAGTGTATTCACTCTTTAATATCATAATGTATATCCATAGACCATCTCATTACTGAATAGATCTTCCAACAGTCTTTATTTCATTTCCACGTTTCAACGATATCAGGAAATACAGACGTACTTGATTCATGGTTCATAACCCATAAGGACAATTCATCATGTAAGTTCAACAGTGTTTCCAAACTCATCCAATCACCTATTTAATCATCAGTTATTGAGGTTACTTAGTTCGTTTAGTAATCAAGTCTAACTCGGTTACTTCAGAGTTTTCCAGATTAATTCAAACGTTTCTGAATTTCAGATACATATTGTACTTCTTTTCAGTTCAATTTAGTCATATAATAAAGTCATTTTGGTATTCGTGGTTGATTTGTCTCACGAATATCCACTACTTAGTACCAAATGCGCTCTAGAGTTGAGCTGAGCTGATTACTTCCAGAATTAACGTCGAGCCAAACTTGAGAAGACGAACACTTATTCAAGAAATATCTATGCCGTTCAGGTACTGGCATATTATTAAAGTTGATCGTCTCACTTAAGTTGTATTCCATAACTTTTTAAAGGTATTCCAACACCTATTCTTATTTGAATTCCTCAATTAACCCCAAGACATTTACTTAGTCTAGGCCCTAAGGGAATTTTGGTCATTTTGGTGCTTAATGTTTTTCCATTCTTTTCAAAACTTGAGGATATCCATACATTCATGGGCTTGGTGATATTCTTGAATCATTTTCATTCTAGGGGTATTTTGGTCATTTTATAGATCCGGTGTATTTCCATCATTTCCATCCGTCTTATCTTATTATTAAATTTAAACTTATCATTTATTTCCATTCTTTCGAACAATTCAGACAAAAGAACACCCCCGATAATTTATTCTTAACTCGGAGATTTTCAGGTCAATTATCTTCTCGAAAGTTACCAACAGGTTATCAGAAATTTTCTGTGCAAAGACAGGATCTTAACAATTAAATTCGTAATTTATCGATTTAAGTACGAATCCTCAAAGTACTTTCTCGTTCAGGGTCAAATCGGACTATTTTTACCTTTCAATGGCATTTTCGTAGTTTCTTATCCAAATAATTTCGGTATTAACTCTTAACGAAAATAACTATAATTTAGAGATCATATGGTTAATTTCTTTTCAGAACATTCTATAATCTTGAAATGATTCCATTAATATACTTATAGTATCTTGCACAAACTCTCTTGGGATTAAAAACCGGTTATCCAAATTTTCTAAGCAAACTAGCATTTCTTATGCACATCTGTAGTTTTATCAGGTCAATATGTCTTTTCAGAGTTATTAATCAACTTCCAAGGATAATTTTTGTCATTTTACAACATAGGGGTATTTTCATAATTTTACCAAACCGGAGTATTCTCATAATTTATCATCCAAGTACCTTTAATGAGATAAATTATAATTCACATATTCAGGACTGATTCCTTTATCACTCAATCACAGAACTTGTAATTTAATAGAGTCTTAACTAATTTATCACTTAAATCGTATTCAGTTCCAATCCATCCATAATCAAACAGACATAATAGACCAATCATATATATGTCCATGCATTTATCCATTATCAACATGTTCCATAAAAGCATAAAGAGGTAGTAATGTATTACCTCGATTTCTGTGTCATACTGATCGACCATATAAATTCCATTCAAATGCCTTCGATCTTTAATTCAACTTCCAATAATTCCTCAAATACATAACAACATAAATTTCATCAAGAACGGAGCTTAATTGCGAAAAACGGATCAAACCGGGTGATTAATCAGTGAAAACAGCTTACCGGTTCAAATTTGGCGAAACAGACTTCGGAATCGGACTCAAAACGTCAACAAAACCCAAAATATTACTCTTGAATTCCAGCTCACCAACTTAATTTCTAGCTCCCAATCTCTTTCTAACGAACACGGACAATCTATCGTACAAATACGACTTCAAATAATTTTTCTCGCCATAAAAATAACTTATTAGAATCTAATTAATAATTTGGGGACCCAATTGCTAAAACTAACAACTTTAGGAGTTCATATAATTTTTAATTAATAAAATTAAGGACTAAATCAATCTTAATAAAACCATTATACCATAATCATAACAATATGAAACCTAAGAGACAAGGTTGAATTCTCACCAAACTTGAATGACTGATGTTGTGATTTACCCTTCATCCTTTATTAACTTCATCCTTTATTATTTTTTTTCTAAAACCCACGTGTACCCTTCATTTCTTTCCTTGGTAGCTAAAGTTTGATGCGCACTTTCACTTTCACAAATGGCGACTGGAAGATCCTTTTGGGCGAGATTGATTGCAAGATTGAGAAGCACATAGAGAGGGCTTTTATTAATATCCATCAAAGCTTTATGAATGTGCATATCAGATTCCCGGCGTCGCTCCCAGTGGAATACCTTCCAATAATGAAAAAAATGGGGGAAAACCTTCTTATAAAGCTCATGTTTCTTCTCGAGGAAGGAGCAGTCGAGGGAGTGGGTGGAGGGATCGTAGAGAAGCTCGAAACTGTTGAAGATCTCGACGGTGCGACCCCTCTGGACACCTATGACACATGCGTAGACTCGAGGGGCTGACTATTGGTTTTCGACGCCGTTGACGGTGGAGGAGTGGAGATGAGTAGATGAGGGTTCATCTGAGACTTGACCCGAGTGTAGTGCTCGGATATGTTTACGATTACTAGTGGATGAAGCTTGAAGGTTAGACCACTGCTCGACGATAACGCCATTCTTTGATTTCGAAATTTGATTGTATTTTTCTCAGTTTGCGTCGATGCTTTGCTTTTAATATTTTTTTTTGAATTATTGAATGTCATTATCCTTAATTTATTCCCATCTCATCCAACATTTTGTTCACATTCTACCTAAGTCTGAACAAACAACGTGAATGCTATAACTAGCTAAAACCAATGAAGGAAAATTTTACACTTAAAGTCCTCAATCTATTAAAAATTCATTGATAATTAAAATTTTAATTATAACTCTTATATAAATATCATAAAATTTTAACTCATAGATTGAGGTGTTACACTACCTATAATCATTATTGACTTTGTTTTACTTTTTACGTTATTTTTCTTTCACCTATATCTTGAATATAACAAAACCCAATCTATTTTAAATCCTTGATTAAATTAATTATACCAATAATCAGTTGGTCTAGTGGGATGAGATACTAGGTCTCTTAAGTAAGGTTAGGGGTTCGAATCTTGGCGTTTGCGAATAGAGCAAACTGGGTTGGGAGAGTCACCCTCGCCTCTGCAGTACCCGATCTGAATTAGTCGGTCAATAGATCGGATATCAGTTATTAATTTAAAAAAAACTGGTTATAAATGGCCGTTGTTATTATTATTGTATTATTCATCTTTTACATTTTTATATAATTTTAAAATAAAATAGTTGATCATAATTTATATAAATCATATATTATAGGGCAAATAATCCGTTTAATACCTAGATGATTAATTTTGGTTCGTTTTAGTACATAAAATTTTAATTTTTTTCAAAATCATACTTAAGGTTTTGTTTTGTTTTTATTTCATTTTAGTACTCTTTCAAAATTTAACGTTAAATTATAAAAAAAATGAAAGTTTAGATACTAAAACAGATCAAAACTAATAATTTAGGTACTAAATGAGTTAAATTTTTAAAGACGGGTTCTAAAGTAAAATGAAAAATAAATGTTAGGTATTATTCTGAAAAACTAAAAGTTTAAGTACTAAAATAGACTAAAACTGATAATTTAAATACTAACGTGTAATTTACCCTATATTATATGATGCATACTCCATACTTACAAACATACAATGCAGATTCAAACATGTATCAAGCACAGCCGCTGTTGACGCGAATGGTTTCTCCATTAATCCACTCCCTAACAACGGTAGCCAAGAAACCGACAACTAGTGCGACGTCTTTGCTCCGACCAAGCCGATTATCCGGAGATTCATCGATACACCTCTGCACCACTTCTTTACTTCTTCCGGTAAAGAACATCTCCGTCGCAGTCGGCCCTGGTGCCACACAGTTTGCAGTGATACCGGTTCCTTTGAGTTCCTTTACTAGTATTTTTACCATAACATCGATTGCTGCCTTAGATGCAGCGTATGCTCCGAATCCCGGCCACAATGAAGCTACAGCCGATGATGATATTAATATAATCCGACCACCGCCGCCGCGCTTCAACCTGTTGGCAGCTTCCTTGGCACACAAGAATGCCCCTCTTGTGTTTACACTGAAATAACATATTTAGAAAATGAATAATAATAATAATGCTCCATAGTTAATAAATTAGGTGTATCATACATGGCATAAATAATAATAAATTAAAATCCATGTCATCATTATGGTAAAAAATTCACTTATATCTTCATATCATTTAAATTTCAACGATTTAGTATTTTAATTACAATAAAATCTATTTTTCATATTATACTCGAATTCTAAAAAAGTTATCGATAAAAATAATGATAAAATACACAAATGATATAGATTATAAGATATTGTTTTGTTAAATCTTCTATTATTAAAAGTAACAAAATAAACCCTCGAGTATAATGCATTTTTTGTTAAGTTCATCGATTATTAAAAAATTATAAAATAGTCATTCGACTATTAATATGTTCTAAACTCGAGTTGGCTGTTTACTTCCTGATTAGAATATGATAAAGAGTTATATTTCAACCGAAAATGTTAAAAAGTTAAAATTTTTAAGTTATGCTCAACAACAAAATGTTATACTTTTTTAACATTTTCGATTGCTTTTATTTTTTTACCGTTCCTTAATCTTAAATAAGACTATAGTTAGGGTTCAAATGCATGTATAAGTGATCATGTTAGGGTTTAAATGCATGGGGACTAGTGGGAGGAAATGCTGTAAAACAATATATGGATGAAACACTAAAGTTGTCTTCAAAAGATTATTCAAACGTGCTCAAATAGATCTTTCTTATGAATATGATCCCTTGATCTGATGCATAACATGTATCAAACGTAGCCGCTGTTGACACGAATGGTTTCTCTGTTAACCCACTCACTGGCATCGGTAGCCAAGAAACCGACAACCGGAGCAACGTCTTCGCTTCGACCAAGACGATTATGTGGAGATTCATCGATACACCCCTGCACCATTTCTTCACTTTTTCCAGTAAAGAACATCTCTGTTGCAATCGGTCCCGGTGCCACACAGTTTGCAGTGATACCAGTTCCTTTGAGTTCCTTTGCTAGTATTTTCACCATCGCCTCTATTGCTGCCTTCGATGCGGCGTATGCTCCATATCCCGGCCTCAGTGCAACCACCATTGATGAAGACATCAATATAATTCGACCGCCGCCTCCGTGCCTCAGCCTGTTGGCAGCTTCCTTGGCACACAAGAATGCCCCTCTTGTGTTCACACTGAAATAACATGGTTAGAAACTATGAGGGTACTGGATAAAACGAGTCCGGTTTCAATTCGGCTTCAAATACGCCGAGCACGAAAATAAGAATTCCATGGTATGCAACCACTGTAAAATCTACCTAATTCATTCTTCCATGTACCATGTTGCATACATCCCAATTTCCAAATCAAAATCTCATATGACATTTCTCAATAACACAGAGAACTATTTAGTACAATACCAACCTATGTTGTTCGAATAGTAAGAACTTCGATACTCATTCGAATTCAAGTCACCGAGAGAGTTTTCTCACTCATTCAGGAGTTGAGTGGACAACTGTAAATATACTTCGGGTCGACTCGACTCGACTGAAAATCTAACATACTTTTTCGAAGATATTCGACAAAGATATTCTAAGTTTTTTAATCAGCTCTATGAAATTTAGGAAATTTAGAGCAGGTGAACCGAAGGCAGTACCTAAAAGTACTGTCGAAGTCCTCCAAGGAAGAATCGGCAATTTTAGGATACGTAGGATCCAGCACTCCAGCACAGTTAACAAGGATGTGAATCGTTGAGCCAAACGCCTGCTCGGCCTAGTCAAACAGGTGCTTCACGGTTACAGCTTGTGGGTCGTCATCGGAAAACAAAAAATTGATCAGCGCTGCTACGCGATCGGCTTGGTCCGAGCTGGAGGTGTAGTTAATGACGACTTTAGCACCGAGTTCAGCTAGATGAACCGCTATAACTCGGCCAATTCCACGCGATGAACCAGTTACTATAGCAACTCGGTCTTGGAGTGGGCGTGGGTTGGTACTGATCCTCAATGCCATGGATATTGAGTAAGAAAGATTAAAATTTGACGTAGAAGAAGCTGAAGAGAAATGGAAATTGGGTTTGATATCTTTGCTGCAATTCTGTTGAGAATAGTTAGTTACTTTATTCTTAGTTCTATAAGTAGTTAGTTCAGTTTGTTAGCCAGTAATATTTTGCTTTAGCCTTTTTTTTCATGGGTAAACTATGCATATAGTCCCCTACGTTTTAGTTTTGACTGAATTTGGTCACTAGTTTAAAATTAAGGGGAATGATCCTAACGTTATCGATCCGTTCACTTTTAGCCCCTCAGTTGTTAACTCCCGTTTGATTTTAGTCCCTTGGCCATGTTAGGGACTTAAACAAAAGAGGTTAACGAAAATTAACGAATGATAGACTAAAATCGAACGGATCAATAACGTTAAGTAATATTTCATCTTAATTTTTAAATTGATGACCGTAGTCGTAGACCCTAAACATAAGGGACTATCCACATAGTTTACTCTTTTTTCATTCCAATGTGAGGTTTCTCAACAAAACTCTCAGCATATGGTTCAATAAGGTCTTTCCCAGTTCCTCATGAGTCTTAGTGAGACTTATGCGGCAATAAAAAGTCAAATTTTTATGATACAATCCCTCCCTTCAATCAGCTGGACTTTATGATTGTGCAAGAAGAGTCTCATCGGATTCATCTTCCTAGAAATTCATCACTCATCGAAACCACTGTTATGTATTTAAGTGTTTTGGTAGAAATGGTTGTCGCAAGTTCACAATGTGATCACTGCAAGATCAAGGATCACAAGTGGGAGAATTGTTATCGGCTTGTTGGTTGTTCCTAGATTTAAAATCACCAAGAAAAAAGAGCTTCAGAAAATCATGTATTTGTGACTTCCCTTTTAATAATCCCGTGCACCTCCCGTGTCTGAGCAGAGAAAATCCCTAATTCATCCATGGTAATCCCTAACCCTCGCTGATTGATCCTCAATTTCTTCTTGTTGAGCCTTCTTCTTCTTCTCCAATCCTGACAATACCCTCTCTTGAAATGATCCTTGTCCCCAAGGATCGAAGGTAGGAAACTGAGCCTTCAAAACTATAAATCCTCCCAAGTATCGTGATTGTCATCCAAATTCGTCCAACGCATCAAAAGCTAAGTAACCGACTTATTTTGATGATTTACAATTCGTTTCCCCAAAATTTTCAATGGTGCAATCCTGAACTGACCATCTTCTTCCATTTTAGGTGGAGTACTGGAAGGAACCGTCGATTCCTCGATCTTCTTTTTCAGCAGACTCGCATGAAAAATTGGGTGGAGTTGAGAGTTCTCTGGTAAGTGCAAACGATAAGCCACTTGCCCAAATTTTTCAAGCACCTTGTATGGACCATAATACTTGGCTGCCAATTTCAGGTTTTTTCCGAAGGCAAGAGAAGTTTGACGATATGGTTGAAGCTTGAGGTAATCTTCATCACCCTCATGAAATTGTCTTTCAGTTCTCTGTTTGTCAGTTTGTTGCTTCATCATGTTTTGTGCATTTTGTAACTATTTTTTTAATAATCTGCCTTAATTTGTCACGATTGTTCATATGTCATTCATGCTTTGTACCTGTGATTCTGTTTGCCAAACCATAATAGGTGGTTTGTATTCATAGAAGGATTGAATGGTGTAAGCTTCAATGTTGTGTGATAAGTGGTATTTTACCAACATTCAGCATGAGGTAGCCACTTTGCTCACTATTTAGGTTTTAAAAAACATAATCCCCGCAAATACTGCTCTAAAAATTGGTTCACTCTTTTTGTTTGGCCATCCGTTTTAGGATGGTAAACAGTGCTGTACAATGTATGGCACTGGTTAAACTCGCATCTTTGTGGCCATTGTTCTTTACAATGACTGCCGTTGCAATGCTTAGGGGATAAAGGGAAATGACATAACTGATATCTAAAGTTCCAGCAACACTGCTTTAACTCAACCTGGAAGAAAACAGATCTCATTACTTCATATGATAGATTTATAGAATACGTTCATACATTATATTAACACAGACAGATCACGAACAGACTCAAACATAAACTAATAATCACAAATAAATTCAGTTTCATCGAAACTCGGTTTGTTCACGGCTCTAAACAAAATCCCATAATTATCTTATAAACAACTAATGAATAGAGTTGAACAACAGACTTCTAAACTATTATGCAAATGGGAAAATACCTGAAGAGCATCAATGGCATCATTATCAGCATCCTTTGCAGTCCAATCATAACCGGATAAAAGCAACCCTTTCGAGCTTTTTTCAGTTGCATCATTGATAACCAAACCAATTCCTCCTTTGGACTTGGTAGAGTCCGTTCCACCGGCAGGGACCATGTAAAGAATCTCCTCTAAGCTATCGTCTTTCCAATATACTTTAGGCTTGTAAGAAGTGACATGAGCATCGGGGTTTCTTAGTCTCAATGGGCTTCCATTTCTTACAGTCAGCTCAACAAACGGAACGCTGTTGGACTCTGAGAATTTAGTGCCTTTGTGACCGAATTTTTCATCGAGAGAGTCGGGAGTGGAAAGGGTAGTTGTAGTAGGAGTTGCAGGAAGAGATGTAGCTCTGATTATGTTTGGTATCGGGAGAGAAAGAGAACAAATGGAGGCCATTGTTGGAAGGAAGAAAATCTTAGCGTCCACACATCAGTGGACTAGCTAAGCTGGTAAGCTCATCCTTTAGCATCTGTTTTTGTTCGTATATGCTTTTCGGCCTACTTTCACTCTCTTTTGCCCCCATTTCATCCAAATTAGTGAATTACTGTGTAATTTATTTTTATCAGGCAACAATATCTATACTAAATAATATCTGGTTTTTAGCAAATTATATGTTTCTTTTAATTGGTGAATATGAAACATCTCAAGTAAATGACGGAATTAAGATGAGAACTAGGATCTAACAAAGCGTTAAACGTCAATGACCAAAGGTGGCAACATTCATCAAATTTACTGATGGAAAAATTACAGAATTGATAAAGACAGAACGGAAATTTCCAAAACAAACGCAAAACTTCGTTTCAACGTGTTTGTAGAATCTCAAAAGATGCCTAAGAGTCCAAAGTCAGCATCGGTGAGATACAAGAGAAACCTAATAGATGATGCTGGCCGGTGACAGACTTAACTTAGTCCTCATCCATTCCTGCAGGCTGTTCTCTCCTTCCTGGACCTCCAGCTGGTTTTGCCATTATAATCTACAGATATGAAAGAATGACATGATAAGCTTGGTTAACGAAAATATCTAAAACCAAAATATATTTTTAAGCTCTGTTTCAAGTTAATTACCTGATCTACTCGTAGTACAGTGCATGCAGCATCGGCAGCATATTTGAGAGCAAAAAACCTGCAGAAAGAAGAAAAAACACGAGAAAAAAAGAGAAATATTGCACTTTTAGTACGTGTCCTTATGCGAAAGAACTCATGAATACGAAAAGGAAAGGATCAAAGTGCGACTTACTTAGTGACATAAAGATCCCAAATATTCTGGGATGACACATCCTTGCAAACCCCATCCTCGGAGTCACCTCCCCCCAAGTCGATGCCCACTTTGATATTTCCAGATGCATGTTTTTCGTACAGCTTAGATATTATATCCATTGGATTAAGTCCAGCATTTTCTGCCAGTGTTCGAGGTACCATTTCAAAACTTTCAGCAAACTTAGCAATGGCATATTGATCCAATCTGCAAAATATTCAATTACCCTATCAACCTCTTCTAGTAATCTAAATATACTGTATATTCCAAAACTTACAAACCTCCAACAGAGTGATAAGACATGCATGATAAATGCAAGATGAAAGAATCGAAAACGATGCTTGATTCACAAAAATCCAGCTCAGCTCATGTATAACATTAAAAAGTGTCACTCGTCCAAAGGCATGGCGGTTAGGCAGGTCAATTGTCATCATGACAAAATATTCTACCATGCCATTTGGCAAGAGCAGCACATAATATGCAGGCTGATACTTCGTAGTAAATAAGTAAAAGTAGAAAAAATAACATATTACCCTGTTTCCTTGAAGGAGAACTCTTTCAATCTTCTAGCCAACTCAATTTCAGTAGCTGCAGCTCCAGGTACCATGCGACTGTCCCTGCACATTGCCTGACCCACAAAAAACATGGCCTTAAGAATGTGATAACCGATAATGATAATTCCCTTGAAATTTACATCCAAAACAAACAAAAAAGACTGTCTCTTCAGGTTAGGAAAAAAACTCAACAAGATTTATCGAGAAATGCTATAATAATTGGAAGAGCTCAATAACGTTTATCGAGAAACGCTATAATACTTGGAAGAATACATAGAAACAAAGTATTCGGCAACAATCACCTTATATGTATTCACTCCATCGTCAACAGCTCTTTCAAGATCATCCAATATACTATCAGTACTTCCTCTCAGCACCACAGTGGCAATCTTGTTCCCACCTTCTTCGCTTCTGACAGCAGTGACCTACAATCAATGGATAATACAAAACAAAATTAACAAAGGACAAGGAGACAAATATGAGTAAAGCAAGCTCTTCATACATACCCGAGAACCACCAATTTCCTCAACTGAAATTGAATCGATAAATCCCAAATCATCAGCCTTTGGTTGGCTGAGTTTCAACTGCCAAAAGAATTAAAGGCGCATTAGATTGCAAACCAAAAGACATTTTCCCCCCTGTATTCTAATATAATCTAGATAGAAAGCTCACAAGAGCAGAAGTTCCTGTTGTGCGACAAAAACGCCTCAGTTCAAATTTTGAGCTGATTTTCAAGACCATTAACCTGCAAGGAAAGAATCCAAACTAGAAATGTTGAACGAGGATGAAAAAGCTACAAAGCAAGATATTTTTTGAATCCAAGAGAAGCCAATCTATCAAACAACTAGCATAAGCACCAATCACTACATATAACATGCATATATCCAACGCTAATCAGAAAAGGAGGGCAATTTAAAATATGGAAGAAAGCTTAGCATACTTGTAACGTTCACAGAAATGCAATGCCATTTCACCAACAGGTCCTCCACTGACGATAACTTTGGCACCAGACTCGGCAACTGCTTTGATTAGCTCCTCAACCTTAGCTTCTTCAGTTTTAGAATAATTCTCTAACTGCAAGATATGTGACAATCTTCAACATTTAGACATATTTGACCAACAAACCCACCCCCAAACTCCAATTACTTATCAGCATAGAGGTAGGCCTATGGCAAAAACATGTATATTATTCTCATGATTTACCTGCTCGGCAGAGTGAATCAATACAGTTCCTTTTGTTTCAGTGGCAGATGAATCAACACCACTGGCAAACACAGCCACCTATAACAAAGTGAACACAAAGCCATAAGTTGAAATACAATAAGACCTCTCTTTACCAATTAAAGAGAATAGTGCAACTGTTATAGAAATTTATTAGTCAACATGAAATGGAAAGGAGAAAAATGATTGTATACCTTTGCCTTCTCCGTATGCTTTATACTTCCCAAGGCATCACCTTTTAAAACCATCCCACGAACAATTGTACAATTATGCAGACCTCCTCCGACAAGCTTTGTGACACGGACATTATCAACATCAAAGTTTGCAGGGTTCTTGGGACAGACTTGGATGCATGCCTAAGATGCAAAAGGAATAAATTAAAAGTAATCATGATATCCTTCAAAATTTATCAGCTAGTAGACAAACACATCGGTGATAGACAAGTGGAGGAATAAGTTGCAAGTTACATCGGCTATGAGAGAACATAATATATCTTCCTGTCCGTGTTGTTTACTAGCAACAGCAGCTTTCATTCGTGTAACAACTTGCTCTTTAACCCGAACATCCATAGTTTCAGAACCTTCCTCCACAAGCTCCCCCAACACCTCAATTGTCTGCAATAAAAGATAGAAACTATAACAAATAATCCGACACTTATCATAATTATCAACCTCACGAGCCATTTAAGTTACTTGGGAAACCAAAAGACTAACCTTGCCAATGGCTTTAGTATATCCACTGATGATCTCACTGGGGTGCAATCCCATCCTAATAAGCTCCTCTGCGCTCTTCTGAAGAAGCGGAAATAAAATCGGCGGCGGGA